CTTAATACATCTTAACGCCTCCGATTCTCAAAATACACTGAGTTTTCTACCCTAGCATTTTTGTTTCTAACAGTGAATTCTTAATATAGAAAGGTGAGTTGAGACCTGGGAAAAACTGAAAAACTGAAACTGGACAATTGCTCTCCCATACATTCCTATGGGTGCCAGGCCCACAATATATCTTAATGCTTCCAGTGCTCTAGATATAGCTGATGCTTTCTCCCCTGTTATTTGTGTTTCTAAGAGTGAGTTCTTAGTGGAGAAAAGTCAGCTAATCTCCAGGTCCTTTGGAAAAAAAGGTATTCTAAAGATGTTTTCCATATTTGATGAAACACAGGTCTCCTGCTAAAAATTAATACTAGTGACTCAGTCTCTAGGCTGTAACCAGGAGCATCACTACATGTCCAATCTAGTAGTGAGACCCTGAACACCCAGTAGACCCTTACCTAAAATGCAGAAGAAAAAAATCTGTGATGACAGAATACAAAATTCCAGATGGAATGGTTGGCTTTATAATTGGCAAAGGAGGAGAAAAGTTTTCATACATTCAACAAGAATCTGGATGCAAAATACAGATAGCTTCTGATAGTGGTGACCTTCCAGAGAGGTCATGTGTGTTAACTGGAACACTTGAATCTGTCCAATGAGCAAAATAGTTTCTGGACAAGCAATGGCCATGACTCATCCACATGGCTGACACTGACAAAGGATCTGCAAATTGTGGTACAGGGTTACAGGATAAATCCTGAGGGTACTTGACTGACCTTATCAGATAAAAAGTTACATTTTTGTTATATAGGTCTTGCTTTGTTTTGGTCTTAACCATCCAGCAGAAAAGTATAAAACAGTAAAGCCATATTAATATGCTGAGCTGTGAAAAGCTCCAGTCAACAACTTCTGTGAATAACCCACTACTATTGTGGACTGCTGAACTGTGTTGGATTGTTTTGCTGAATTCATGCACCTATAGTATTTAGATGCCAATGGAATACCCATTTCAGACAGGACTAAACAAAAAAAGAGGATACAAAAGAAGGGACATTTTGTATCTGTTTACACAGAATAGTTAGAATAGATATACAGCTATTTTCTCTTAACTGAATGAGATGAAAGATTTGTAGTAATAGTGTTTGGACAGGATATTCTGTATGCATCTTGTACTATGGATAACCACTAAGAAGATAACAATATACAATGTATTAATTATTGAAACTGTCTTATTAATCAGTTTTGAAACCGTCTCATTGATATTTGTTTCTCAATAAAATAAAATAAGTAATTACTGGAACAGAATGTTGAAAAAGGCAAACTGGCCCCAGAGTTTCATCATGGTGATAGACCTGGAAATGCAGTTCAAGAAATCATGATTTCAGCTAGCAAGGCAGAATTAGTTATTGGATGGGGTGAGAGGGAGAGACACTTAAACCACTGCAGGAATGGGATGGAGTTAAAATCGTTATGATTCAAGATGGGCCTCAGAACACTGGTGCTGAAAAACCTCTTAGTATTACAGGTGATCCATACAAAATTCAACAAGTCAAGGAAATGGTGTTGAAGTTAATTTGTAGTCAAGGTGGTTTCAGAGAAGTTTGAAATGAGTATGGGTCAATAGTAGGAGTCAATGAAGAAATAGATGTCACCATCCCAAGATTTTCTTTTGACATTGTAAAGGAAAGAAATGGAGAGATGATTTAAAAAATACAAAATGATGCTGGTGTTTGAATTCAGTTTAAGCCAAATGATGGAACAATGCCAAACAGAACAGCTCAAATAACTGGATCTCCACATTGATGATGCAGAATTATCACAGACCTTCTTCAAAGTGTTCAGGCTGGTAATCCTGGTGGAACTGGATGAGGATGTTGAGAAAAAGTAGATTTCAAGATAACTGGAACATAGGACCACCAGATGGACTACAAGAATTTAATTTCATTGTGCCAACTGGGAAGACTAGATTAATAATAGGAAAAGGAGGTGAGACCATAAAAATCATAAGCCAACAATCTGGTGCCATAATAGCACTTCTGAGAAATCCTCCACCCAATGCAGATCCTAAAATGAAGCTATTTACAATTTATGGCACTCCCCAACAAATAGACTATGCTCAGCAACTCACTGAAGAAATATTGGTGGCCCAGTAAATTCTTTAAGGCTACCTGTATGCCATGGATCCCATGGTGTCCCAGGTCCCCATGGACCTCCTGAGCCTCCAGGACCTGGAACTCCAATGGGACCATGTAACCCTGCACCTTATAACTCAGGACCACCTGGCCCAACTCCTCATGGTCCTCCAGTCCCATATGCTCCCCAAGGTTGGGGAAATGTACATCCATATTTGTAGCAATAGGCTACTCCTAATCCAGCCAATTATGCTCACTATTAGCAACAACAAGCACAACTACCACCTGCAGCTCCTACAGGTGCATCCACAACAACCCAAACAAATGGGCAAGGAGATCAACAGAATCCAGCCCCACCTGGACAAGTTGGGGCTTAGGAAGTTATACCAAGTTATACCAAGGCTTGGGAAGAATAGTACAAGAAAATGAGTTAAGCACTCCTTGGGCCTACCAGTGCTTCCCCGGTGGCCAGTCAGACTACAGTGCAGCCTGGGCAGAGTACTATAGACAGCAGGTGGATTACTATGCCAAAATCAGTCTGCAGGGTATGCTGCAGCACCCACCAGTACCTCAGGTATAATACACTTGTAAATCTGTTCATTTTTCTACTGTAGTTGTGTTTCCCGTATGTTGTCTATTTGTCCGTGAATATGTTTATCTTTTAAATTTTTATCTGGCACAGTAAAAATGAAGTATTGTGTGTTGTTATGGTTGTTTGCTTTTTATAATGCTTTCTGGCATCTGAGTGCTGAATAATTCTACAATGCCATTTTTTTGGCAGATATTCACAGTTTTTATTTATAAAAAAATTAACAGTACTTGTGGAAAGCCATCAGAAGACATCAAAGATACCCCTATCTTCCCAGCTTTGTTCTGTTACTGGATTGATTACTCCATGGATACCGTCTGGGCAGTTCATGCAGTGACTGAATTTAGCCCCAGGCAGGCTGTCTTTTCTCCTCTCGCAGATAAAAGTATTTTCATGAGCTACTGACCAGTTTCAAGTCTTCTGAATACTGAAAACATTACATCACCTGGATCTGCAACTTGGCTATGCTTCTTCACTATTCTCTCTCTCTCTTTTTTTGGTGAACATTGCAAAACAAGAATTTATCTTATTACTGTTAATTAAAACAAAGTGGAAAAATCTCAAAGTTTTAAGTCTGCCTCTGTTTTATCCTCTGTTATTTATGGGTTTAGTTCCCCTAATAATCTTAAAAATGAAACAAACACAAGTATTAAAAATAAAAGTCTAAAAATGACGCTTAAAAGTTTTCACCAAAATGTACAAAAGTTAGCCTTTGCCTCTTGCTTTTGAGGGCCAGGCAGGGTAGGGAAGGTTTTGAGAAGGAAGACAAAAAGAACAAAATAGTATGTACTGTATGTGCAGTGCTTAAATTAATTTTCAACATTTTATACTATGAAAGGAATCTATTCCACAAATAGAAGTTCAAATGTTGCAAGGTTTTACTTTTCAACACATTTTGGTAATTCCTGTTTTCATGTAGACTGGGTTAGAATACTGTCTATAGTAAGTTTCTACCAAGAAGCTATTCTGACTTGACACAGGCTACACCTCTAGATGAAGTCACTGGTTTACAGCAAACTCCTAAACACAAGGAGCAGAGCACAGCAGCCGCCTGCCCCCGTAACACCACTGCAGGGCTCCTGCGGGAGCGAGGACAGGGTTTCTTTGATGTGCACTCATTATAAACGTTAAGCTGCAGCGCAGCGACCCTGTACACCGAATAGTCATCTTTAGCTCCATTAAATAAGACACAGCACGGGGAAACACATATCCTGGAAAACACTCTCACACTCAAACTGAACTGTATGTTAATTACACTGTGGCACAGAGGCAGCTTGTGGGCACTTCTTGTTAAAACAGGACAAAGTCATCCATCATCCACTTCTGATGAGACTCCTTCTAAGCCTTGAACACCGACCGAAGATCAATCACTCCAGAACTCTGATCACTTTTCTACAAATAGAGCTGAGTCTTTCCAGAATAACGAGGGGACATACAGGTCCAACCTATCACAGCTTCTTTCTCACGTCTGTCAAGTGGGTGAGGTTTCTTTACAGAACTACAATTCTTTAACTTTTAAAAATTAACATTTTCTATCATATTAAATTAGCAACATAAAACATTAGCCTTTATAAAGTTCTATTCCTGTTCCCTAGAGCGTATATACATGTCTTTATTTCTAATTTGCGAGAAAAATTCTATATTTGGTAACACAGCATGAAAAGATACTATACACGTATAGCATATATACATATATATATACAAAATACACTTCAGAAAGAAGCCAACACATTTTAGCCAAAATCTAATCTTGCATAGATTTAAAAAAAGAATTATGCACACAATTTTTGTTAAAATAGAAAATGGGGAGTAAAAGTTACAGAATGGATATGAAGAGAGATCTTTTTCCAAACTTTTATTTGTGCACATTCAATTGAAAAGATAACTTTTATAGGTTCTTTGGTGCCCACATTCAGCATACAAAAATGCAAAAGACTATTCACAAATGAAACACATTTGCTCAAACTGGAAAAAATAACAATGACAACAATAAAACAATTTAAGGTAGTGCACACTGTGACAGCTCTGCTTATGGGGACATGAGAATTACTGTGAAAATAAATAGACCATCCTCTTGTAAAGCAACAATGTCATGTCTTGTAAACTTCCTTTTTATATTACAGCGAAGACTGAAATAAAATCCAAAGGGACTGGCGCTTATACTGTAGCCATGAGTGAATAAAAGGAGTCTCTTTCCTCAGTTACTGTTGGTCCAGTTTTCCTTTTGAGCCCAATGTGCAGCAGGTTTTAAAAGGTGCTCAGTTAGAGATTCTAACCAATTAAGTGATGAGTTATAAAATTTCTTTCCTGCTTTCAAACACAAATGGGTAAATCTGTTCCATAGCAGTAGCCACCGCCTTTACATTGGGCCCTGTCACTGTGATACTTCCTGTTGAAAAAATCTGTAATGTAGCTCTTAGGGATTTTATCCGATAGCACACAGCAGGATGAAGTTCAGGTTCATAACTGGCATGAGGTCTATTGTTCTTCGTGAATTCTGGCAAACGGATTTCAAAGGGCATATTACAAACTGCCAAAACGTTAACAACCTTAAAATCTGTAAATATTACCTGAAAACCTAGCTTCTGCAAACTACGGGCTAAACGTCTGGCACCAAATTTAGCTTCTTCACTTGTTGCTCCAGTGCAAATAATTTTTCCTGAGGACCAAATCGTAGCTGTAATTCTAGGTTTTCTAAGCTTCATTAATACTTTTCCAACATCACGCTTATAAATAACATTCGCTCCCTCCAAAGCAATCTTCCTTAAGTTCAAATGACATCTTATTCTAAAAACACAGACTACGTTTGTAATTAAAATGTCCACTGCAACATCACTATCTGCATCCATTGGGGTAGTTTAAAAACTTAACTTCCCACCACGAAGTTCACATCTGTGGGAAGACCGGGCGGCCACAGAGGACGTGGTGGCAGCGCTGCTGCCGGTTGCTTCGGATGCGAAGCAAGAGCTGGAGGACAAGGATGAAGATGAGGCAAGCTCGCTATCCAGTCTCCATGGACCTTCTGCCCCGGCCCGTTACTGGGTACCCCACAACTCGGGCTCTGCCTTCCCTGCTTTGTTGTTCAGGGTACCTCTACAATGCTTTTGATTTTAAAAATAAGTTTTCTTCCCCACGGGGATTTGTACATCATGAAATAAGCCAGCGCCGTTTATGTGACCTAGTTTTAATTTCTTAAAGGATTCATTCCTGAATTACCTCCAATTAAAGGATTTTCTTCAACTTTTTGTGTATTTCTTATCTATCTCTTCTGCAAGGGCCAATAACAAGAAGTGGGCAACACAGCATTTGCTTTATTATGTGTGTGTGGGGGGGAAACCATTGTTAAATATATGGATGCAGACGACTTGATGAAGATAGTAATTTTGTTTTGGTTTAAAGAAGTGTTCTTATCAGAAATTGTACAAAATATTTATCACTATTGATAGGAGGTTAATAGTTCTGTGTAGAAATGAAAATTGGATTGTTTTTAGTACCTAGTGTAGATGTACATATTCTAGCAAATGTATTTGCAATTATTATGTGGTCAATGTTTTGTGATATAAATGTGCTTTTTCAATGTATTCTTTCACTTTAAAAATGCCTGTTTTGTGCTTTACAATGAATGATATGAAACCTCAAAAAAACCTTAATGCTGGTAACCATAGTTATTCATGGGGCCCCACAGAGCCCAGAGTGGCATATTATGCAGTTGACTAGGGTAAAGCATCCCTGAAGTTTGTGCAACTCTACATGCTTGCACAGAGAAAATGCACAAGACATTTTCTCTCTGATTCATTTTTATGGGCTCCAGGTCTTCCAATACAACTTAATGCCCCAAATGCTTAAAATATAGCTGATACTTTCTGCCCTATTGTGTTGGTTTCTAAGAGTAAGTTCTTAATAGAGAAAGGCCAGCTAAGCTACAGGCCCTTTGAGAAGCCTAAGGCCAGGGAGATGGCTCAGTAGAATAAGTGCTTCCCTGGCAAGTGCAAGGGTCTGAGTTCAAGCCCCAGTTTCGAAAAAAAAAAAAAAAAAAAAAAAAAACTAGCGGGAGAACCCTGCCATTCCAAGCTGTTTCCCACATACAGTGAAAGACAAGGCTCTTGTGAAAAATTCACACTGGAAATTTGAGCCAGTGCCCAGCCCCGGTGTGTGGGTGGGACTGTCCAGGGCTCACCAGATCCTCATTTGAGCCAGAGCCCCCCAGGCCTGGTATGTGAGTAGAACAGCATCCATGAGACAGGCCCAGTGTATCCTGCATCAGAACTCCCTGCCGAGCGGCTACAGGCAAGACCCACCCCCATGATCCAGGAACAGAACATCCTACCAGATGTTGAAAACCATCATGTCACAGCTGATTCACCTCCAAAGGATGCAGCAGGAAGAAGGGAGCACAGAAACCAGACTCACGCCACAGCCACCTGGATGAGTTTGAACTTGGTAGATCCAGATCTGGTGCTAAGGCAATAATTCTACCAAAGCTCTACACAAAAGATCAGAAGACAGTGCTTTTCAAAATGACAAAGAGGAGGAAAATTCATTCTTTGGCTGCAATCCCACCCAGAACAAATGCAGAAGACAATAGCATAGAAGAAATTGGAAAGCATACACCTGAAATTTCTGAAATAATAGCATCTCAAGTAAAAAATAACTGGAGAAAGGTATAGAGGAAATCATATCAGAAATAACTTCTGAGGTAAAAAATAAATGATAACTATAATGAAACAAGTACTAAGTGCTTCTAAAGAAGACAATGATAAAAAATAGAGGAGAATATAAAAATGATGGGATTCTTGAATGAGCAATATAGGAAAGAAATACAATGCATGAAGCAGATTCAAATTGCTATACAGGAAATTAAAACTTCAATCACAAGCTGGAAAAACCATTTGAATAAAAGTGAAAATAGAATTTTACACCTTCAACACACCATTGCAGCTAGTGAAAAGGTAAGAAAAAATATCTTAAAGACAAGTAGGATACAGGAAAAAATAATTCAACATCTACAAGATGTTGCAAAGATGAACAATGTAAGGCCAACAGGCATCAGTGAGAAATAAGGAGTTAATACAAGTGATATAAAAATAATATGGAGAGAAGTAGTAGCAGAAAACTTCCCAAATGTGGGGAAACACTCTGACATCAGGCAACTGAAACATATAGAACTCCAAATAATATGAACCAAATTAAAAACACACCCAAACATAATAATCAAGATCCCAGATATTCAGCACAGGAACAGTATACTAAAAGTCACTAAAGAAAAGAAATACATAATATTTAAAAGAAAACCCATCAGAATAATGGGAGATTTCTCTGCACAAAAATCAAGTCAAGGAGAGCATGTAGCAAAGTACTCCAAGTCTTGCAAGAAATCAAATTCCAACCAGATGGATACCCTGCAAAACTTTTCAAATATAATGGAGAAATGAAATAATTCCACGACAAAAAACAACTCAAGTGCTTCATGATGACAAAGCCAACCCTACTCAGACCACTAAAAGATATTCTAGAGAGGGATTAAAATGACTACATCTCCATGAATTAGAATGCAAGGAATCCACCAAATAGGACAAAAAATTAAACACAGGTGAAAAAGTGGTATACAACAGCCATCCTGAAATTATTTTGCTTACAGCAGCAAAATATTTCCATCAGCATACTCTAAAAATGGACTTCTCCTGCACCCTATGGGTCATGATTCTGTCTGGGTCTACAGGGTGGATATCAAGGAAATAGCTATAGCTCAGTTGCACAAGTGACACCTGGCACCAGTAAGTGCCCATGTCCACAACATACTAGAACTTGGTGTGATATCCTGTCCCCAAACTGTTAAAAGTGTTGGTCACATATTTGCCATTCCAGTACTTATGTATGTTCCATTCTTAGTAATGGTTTCCTATCACAAAAACTTTTTCTTAGTTTATATTTTAGTATCTATTAACCAATCAAATACTATGTGAGTACTCTAAATTGATCACAGATACTTACATATGATACACAATATTCTGGCCTCTTAGTTGGACTCAGGATTCAATTTTAATTTGGGAATATTGTTTTGAAATATTTAATTTTTGAGAGGAATTGACTTCATTGCTTGAAAATACATTAATTCTCTGAAGACAGACTAAGCCTTGACAATTTAATTGCTACATAAATGTTTCAATATACAAAATATCAAATATAAACAGTAGTGCAGCAAGAAAATAAGCCAGCAGAAATAATTATTCACTTACTAATAATAAAGACCACCATTTCAAAGATTTTGTATACAAAATGAATAAGAAAATACTGCAAGACTTTGCAGCAGACACTGAATCTATCCCACATCATTACTGTTATACTTCTTTTTTCTTCAGGTTGAGTGGATTCACATTATCTACTGTCATCTCATTTTGTTTATTTTGGGAGCCATCACAGACAGAAAATGTCTTGGAGCACCAGCACTTAATTTTGAATTAATTAATATTTAATTAATTTTCTAAATACTGTTTAATTTTAAATTTTGTTTCATGATTTATACTGTATCTTGAATTACAATCTACTTGTCATACATGTATGATATTTTCTCCTCATATTAGAAATTAAAAAGTATATTTCCATTGACTTTGTATTACTCTATCCATGAAACATACTTTTTATTTTACTTCTTCCTTATCTTTTACACACACACACACACACGAAATATTTATATAACCTGACATAAGATTGATACTATTTTGTAGAAATCTTCAATGACCTTTTCAATGGATTCATCTAATATAATTATAGTTTACATAGTCCTGCATAAGTACTATTTTGAGAGCTCTTTATTCTTTATCCAGGACTATATAGCAACTTCTCTTGCCTTCCAGATAATGATCTTTTTTTATTTCCTGTATGCTACATCTGGAGATATTACAATAGTTTAAATTTGTATAACATGAAAATAATTTACTTTTAGTTTTCAAAGGTATGTTTGTTAAGTTTAAAATTCAATGAGGACAGATTTTTGTTTCAATCCTCTGAATTAGTCTAGTTTCTTACCCACTTTCTCTTTTTTTTCTAATGTGGAGTAAGATGTTATTTAAATTTGCTCTTCCATAGCTAATATTTTTTTCAATGTATATGTTTTTATGATTTTTTTCTTTATAATTAGTTTTAAACAATTTCACTTTTCTGTATTTTGGTGTGATTTTATTCATATTTCTTGTGCAAAAGGGTCATTTTTCTTGGAAATATGGTACTATAATTTTAACTAAATTCAGAAATTTTAAATCTTTAAATATTTATTGCTTACTCCTTTTTACTTTGAGAATTCTAATTAGATGAATATCAGTTTCTTGATTTTGGCATAGAGCAAACTAGTATATGACTGATCTGAAAATTCTTCTTTTTTATTTTAGACAGTTTTTATTGTTATATACATTTAAGTTTGTACATAATTTATTTACAATGTGCAATCAATCTTTAATCTCATGCTATGTATTCAGTTTGGAAGTATTTCTCTAAAACTCACTCTCTACATCTTATATCTTTCATATTTCAATATTTGTGTACAATTTCAATATGCTATATAATTATTGATTTTCAATAAAACTAATGAGGAAAAAATTCATTCTGGAAAATGCAGTTATTCATGGAGCCCTATTCAGCCCAGAGGGACATCACGTGCAATTGACTACAGAAAAACATTCCTGAAGTTCATGCCATTCTAGCTGCTTGCATCAAGATACTGGACATGGATTTTTTTCTCCCATGCATTCCTATGACTACCAGGTCTTTAATTCATCTTAATTCCTCCAGTGCTCTAAATTTAGCTGATTCTTTCTGTCATATGATTTGTGTTTCTAAGTATAATTTCTTAATG